AGGTCAGGTGAACCCTACCTGACGGACATGTAGACATTGCAAGGAACCCATATACCAAATGTAGTTATCCTATTACTCATAATAAGTGAGTATTTCACTTGACTGTTGACACAGAGATATGTCTCTCCTGTCGGCATAAAATTCAGAAAAGACAATCTGATGGACAGCAACATGATTTATCAATTCAGCCGCTGGACCATTATCTAGTAGGCAGGGTCCGAAAATAATTGTCAAACTGATATGTACTGATAGTAATGCAACTTTATACAAAATATCATTGATCTATCACAAGTAGTTCTTATCAAACTGACTTAAGCAGAAAACTTAACATTGAAAATTGCTAATTAATTCAAAGTCACTGGACCATGACCTAGGGGGCATGGCCTGGAAATAGTCGTCAAACTGATATGAACTGATAGTAATGCAACTTTGTATTAAATAGCATTGATCTATCACAAGTATTCCTTATCAAACGAACTTAAGCAGAAAACTTAACATTGAAAATTGCTAATTAATTCAAAGTTGCTTGACTATGACCTAGAGGGAAGGGCCTAGAAATAGTCGTCAAACTGATATATACTGATAGTAATGCAACTTTATATTAAATATCAATGAACTATCACAAGTAGTTCCTATCAAACTAACTTAACAATTGTTGACACCGTCGCTTGAAAAGCAATCCCTTTATCTCGCTTTCCGCAAAAGGCGAGACAAAAACTGTAATTATTTTTTAAACAGTCACTGAACCATGAAAATGAGGTCAAAGACAATGGACATATGACAGACGGACACTTCCTAACATAAGGTATCTTTATACAAGGTATGAAGCATCCAGGTCTCCTACCTTCTGAAATACAAAGCTTTATTCAAGTAGTTTACGCCATCTGGGACTTTCGTCGAAGACGAGACATAAATTTTCATTAAAGGGCATGAATTCCCATAAGGATTCTACTGAAGATTTCACCCATGTTTGACTTTTTTGTAGAAATTGTCTAGCTGATAACTTTTGCAATTTTCAGTTTCTCTGTATCTATTATAGTATCAAGATAATAGGCAAAATTTAAACAAAATGGTAAAATTCGTATTTACCTTCAATAACTTCTATAAGAAGTCTTCTGACATGGACAGTAGGTATATCTCAACATTTTTAGAGTCACTGACTGTCCGAATTTCTATATCTACATGTGCAGCATGATCTTCTTACCCTTATAGGGCACCCGGAATCACCCTCGGTTTTTGGTGGGGGTCACTCATTTAGTTTTCTATGTTGTTCTTAGTGTTATGTTGTGTGTCTTCTCATCGTTTTTCATTTTTTGCCATGGCATTGTCAGTTTTCGACTTAAGAGTTTGAATATCCCTTTGGTATCTTTCGCCTCTCTTCTATAAGCAGTTTTAAAGATTAAACAAAATTAGAATTTTACCCCTATGTTCTATTTTAAGCATTGTCTGCAATGTTCATTTACAGGAGGGTTCATCAGATATATTCTTAAATAATATATCCCAATGATGATTATGGTCAAGTTTGGTTCCAGTTGGCCATTCAGTTTCAGAGGAACAGATTTTTGTAAAAGTTTACAGACAACGGTCGACAGACGATGGCACAAAGTGATCAGAATAGCACACTTGACACTTAGGGTCTGTTTTGTTTTTGCTTAAATTTTTATTTTTTACTCATTTAAGCAGCTGGCACTTGAAAGTTCTACAGGTTCTACCATACCTGTCAACCTATGACAATGGAAATCATCACCTGCATAGAAGAATGAAATCTCAGGTCATAACGTGTACGAACTTTTTCGAGCTGAATTTCAGTATTTAGGGGACATTTTTCTTATAATTTATATCAAAGTTTCCAAAACATGTCCGCATGGTTAAGTAATTTAAAATTGTACATATTATTATTTCATTGCACCTGGAGGCCAATTGATAGATTTGTGTTACATTGCCTTAATTCCTGTTCATATTCATTCCATGACATACAATGTGCCAATTTGTGTTTTCTTTACATACATTTGTGCAGCTTTTAAACAGTTGAACATATCATATGTTGGTATTAGAGTATAATAAAATAAAGTTAAACAATTAAAGGAGGTATAGATGAAAAAAGTAGTTTTCAAAATTTTTATTTTTTAATTGTTCTAAGGAAGAACAATAAGTAAAAGTATTATTCTGATATGTTTTTGCATTCAATTCATTTTAGATTTAATCTTTTTACAAAAAAAAACATAAGTTTAAGGAGTATATTGTGAATTGACCAAAAAGGGGAAGTAACTCAAATTGTTTTTAAAACAACTCTGAAATACACAAATTATTTACGACCTAAAGCTAAGGTAATTGGTGTTAATTAACAGTGTGTTTGACACCAAAGCTGTCAAGTGAAGCCATGCACTGAAATGGGTCAGTTGAGCTTCTTGTCCAGGGAGAATTACGAATTTGCCGGTATTTCATTGAAATCACTTTATATCTAATCAGTCTGAAGGCTAAGGAATCCGGGTGAAAACGGGTTATTTTCCGAATTCCCAGGTTATTCGGTCACCTGTTCAGGGTGACCCCTCAGAATTGTGAAAATCTCGGGTCACACCCACAGGATCTGGGTCAGTTGACAGGTATGTTCTCCAGGTGGCAGATTTTGCTGGGTACCAGTTACTTGTGAAAGCCTTGTATGTTACCTTTCTAAGTGCAATTTCTGTGAAATGAGAAAGATAGACTGAGTGTACAAGTTTTATTATTAAAACAATTACATAGAAACATTTATTTTGTAGAACTAAACTGGCCACTAAGGAATGTGAACACAAAATATAAAAAGAAGATTACAGAGTTCAAAATGCCAATAGCTACAAAATAATAACATTAATCAAAAGGCTATTTAATAAGATACCTTAGATACCAAGGTGTTTGTGTTACACACCTGCAACTCATTTCACAACAAATCTTTCGAGAAAAAATACTCGTAAGTCATGAACATTACAGTATAACTTAATAATGATTTTTTTGTCGTAAGATATTTTGTGAAAAGATCCCCTGGGTGTATCTTTTGTGCTTCAAATGTCATAACTTAATTACTTTTGGATTTTTTTCATTATCAAAAAAAAATATGAAATGTAATAGCTGTCAATATAGAATGACGGCAATAGCTTAGACAAAAGTAATATTTTGGTCAGAGGAATCTTTAATTTTTAACATGAAATCACCCAAACATTATGTGCTTCTCTTAAAATTTCTAATGCAAGAGAACATAACTGCATATAACTTTTTTAATGAATCAATATCTAGAAATTTTTAATAAATCTTCTAAAATATCTAAATCATTATATAATTACAAACTTTAGAAATACTTCATTGAGTGTGATGAGGGATTTTCATTCAACATGTATGCCAAATTTTTACTTTTTGTGTTCTTATGAATTGGGCATATTTTTTCACTAAAAATAATACTCAGGTTCATCATTTAATCTCACTGTATGATTTTTTGGGGCAATACAATACTCTATGCTCATGTCTCTCTTTATGACTAAAAAAAAAGAATTCTAAATTTCTCTATTGTGAAATAATAAATGCTCAATTAGGTTGGTTTTATTGCAGGTTTTTATTTTATTTTTGTAATTCATAGCCTTGACTTGTGAAAAAAGAAACCCCTTAAATTAAATAATAATTATTCACATTAAGGTCTCAAATAAAATGTAGTAAAACAGACCAAATGTTTAGTAGCAAACCTACTGCTCTGCTCAGACAAAATATTTAGAATGAGTTATGAAATTTTATGAACATAAATTTTTATTGTCATTTTACAACCAAAGCTACGAATACTTGAAAATGTTGTATCCAATAAACAATTTTCTTACACAAATAATTCTTTAAGAATTTCCTTTTTGAACAGAATATAAAAATATTTTTTTTTCAAATTTAAGAAAGGAAAGTTTCACTTATATATTGAATAAATGATTATATCAATTAACTATAGTTGTCCATGTTAGTTGAGGACAATCTCCTCATAAAAAGGCTCCTAAACTAACAGATTATGGAATAGCAGTATTTATAGGTACTGATACTTCATGATTTACTTGTACACTCATTACACAACATCATGAATATGATTAAGCTTAAAACAGTTGACCGACACTTATGATAAAAAAACATTTGTTAATATCAACTAAAAATTTAAAGAAATTGTATTCCTATGTGCAATTTTCTCTTGAGGGGAAAAGACGTTTGTAGTAAAACTAGGTAGGAAAATGGGAACAGTTCCATGTGACACAACCAGAACAAATTATTGAATCTTAAATATAATTCACAACCACAATTAATTTAATCTTTTCTGCAATGTGTATCAACTGAAAGATTTATCCTCCTATATTTAAATTGATATCTTCAGTCTGACAAAAATTTTCATCTGTGAAAAAAGAATGATCAAAAGTAAACATAAGAAAAATTAAAGAAGCAGTGCAAATATTTTTGTAAATTGCAGAAGGGTCTACAGTTTCAAACATAAAGAAAAGTAATATGTAAACTTCTTCAAGTCTTATTCGTACAAGATTTAAAATAATGAATCATTTTACCCATTGAAAGAAATGCTCTTAAAATTATTGCTTATAGGCTAATTATGAGGATTAATCTTTATTTTGAACAAACTACAAACAAAAAAAAACAATTGTTATCAAAAGCTTTTGAATAAAAAAAATTATATTACAAACAATACATTTAAAAGCAGTTAACATTAATGTATAAATTGTATTTCACATAATTGAAAGACTAGTATCCAACCTTCTCTCCTAAAACTTTGAAATAGACAACAGACACAGCATGATGAAACGGACCAATTGTTTACATTGGAAAGTTGAACAAGCATATATTTATAGCAAATATGAACAGAATTGTGCCTTACTCTGTAATAAAATTCTAACTAAATTGTTTGAATCATTATAAGTGGGAGCACAAAGCTGACTGAAGAAAAGGAAACTTCATTACATCTGTACGAATATTAAAACTTTGAGCACAACTGAGCACTGCTCCAAAAAATCTAAGAGCTACTAAAAATATGTTATTTTACTATAAAAACTTTGTTGGAATAAACTCTATGCAAAAATACCCTTATGTAATTTTACCAAAGTTGTGTGCCTTGTAAAAGTAAGATTTTCTGCCCTTTTGGCCTCTAGTAGTGTAACAAGAGTGCACATGCTGAAATGTCTCGCCTTCTTTACTAATCATTGATATTATGTTGATAGTCCTAAATATAAAGCTTTACTACAACTATCACATACACTTAACATGATCCAAGAAAATGAGGTCAAGGTCATATAAACCAAACAAGAAATACATGTACACCTTACAATCATTCAATACACTAAATATAGTTGACCTATTGTTTATAGTTTCTAAGATACAGACTTAACCAAGAAAACTAAACATTGACCAATGAACCAAGAAAATGAGGTCAAGGTCAGATGAACAATGCCAGGCAGACATGTATTACAGCTTGCAATCCTTCCATACAACAAATATAGTTGACCTATTGCTTATAGTATTAGAAAAACAGACCAAAACACAAAAACTTAACACTGAGCAATGAACCGTGAAAATGAGGTCAAGGTAAAAAAAACCTGCAAGACTGACAGGTACATCATAAGATATTTCCATACACCAAATATAGATGACCTATTGCATAAAGTATTAGAAAAAAAGACCAAAACTCAAAAACTTAACTTTGACCACTGAACCATGAAAATGAGGTCAAGGTCAGAAGACACCTGCCCGCTAGACATGTACACCTTACAATCATTCCATACACCAAATATAGTAGACCTATGGCATACAGTATAGGTAAAACAGACCAAAACACAAAAACTTAACTATAACCACTGAACACTGAAAATGAGGTCAAGGTCAGATGACACCTGCCAGTTGGACATGTACACCTTACAGTCCTTCCATACACCGAATATACTAGACCTATTGCTTATAGTATCTGAGATATGGACTTGACCACCAAAACTTAACCTTGTTCATTGATCCATGAAATGAGGTCGAGGTCAAGTGAAAACTGTGTGACGGGCATGAGGACCTTGCAAGGTACGCACATACCAAATATAGTTGAACTATTGCATATAGTATTAGAAAAAAAGACCAAAACTCAAAAACTTAACTTTGACCACTGAACCATGAAAATGAGGTCAAAGTCAGATGACACCTGCCCGCTAGACATGTACACCTTACAATCATTCCATACACCAAATATAATAGACCTATGGCATACAGTATAAGAAAAACAGACCAAAACACAAAAACTTAACTATAACCACTGAACCATGAAAATGAGGTCAAGGTCAGATGACACCTGCCAGTTGGACATGTACACCTTACAGTCCTTCCATACACTGAATATACTAGACCTATTGCTTATAGTATCTGAGATATGGACTTGACCACCAAAACTTAACCTTGTTCACTGATCCATGAAATAAGGTCGAGGTCAAGTGAAAACTGTCTGACGGGCATGAGGACCTTGCAAGGTACGCACATACCAAATATAGTTATCCTATTACTTATAATAAGAGAGAATCTAACATTACAAAAAATCTTAACTTTTTTTTCAAGTAGTCACTGAACCATGAAAATGAGGTCAAGGACATTGGACATGTGACTGACGGAAACTTCGTAACATGAGGCATCCATATACAAAGTATGAAGCATCCAGACCTTCCACCTTCTAAAATATAAAGCTTTTAAGAAGTTAGCTAACGCCGCCGCCGCCGTAGCCGCCGCCGCCGCCGCCGCCGCCGCCGGATCACTATCCCTATGTCGAGCTTTCTGCGACAAAAGTCGCAGGCTCGACAAAAATCATGAGATTTCACAAATCTGATTGAAAATGCAGGTTGGTATTTTCAGATAAGTTCAAAGGAAAAAATAAAAGTCTGGATTCAAAATAAAGGTAAAAATTTTGGTACTTACACTTATCAACCCATTTTATCTTTGTATCAGTAAAAATGCAATAAATAAATAAATCAAAAATTACTCTCATGAAAATTGTTTTGGTGCCTTTAGGCAATTTATCAAAAATTTAGACCTTGCTTTAAAGGAAATATTTAGGTTATTTTTAAACGTCAACTTTAACAAAAGTAATGGCATTGACAATGATGTCTACAGCTTGACAACAACAATAAAGTCAGTCAAAACCATACTATTCCCTGGTAATATTACCTTGAATATTCTGATGTCTTATTTTTTATTTGAATTAGCAACTCTTCCCCTTACAGGTTTACTGAAAGATATTATATATTAACAATAATGTACTAAATATATATATATAAATATGTCTATATTTTTTATGAAAAATTATATACTACCAGTATATATATATATATATATTTCTTAATAAAGACTAATCAAAGATGGAATAGACAAAGTGGAAAGCAAAGAGAAATTTTGGATGCAGCAAAATTAAATCTGCTTGTACACTATTCAACTGTTAGATAAGCTGCAAAAGTTTGATATCAGCATCTGATTTATCAGAAGGAGAGCTGCATGCTTGATGAACCTATTATATCTATCTGAATATAACACTCTATGTGTGTTAATGCTACATTCTTTGGCTATCTCACTTTTTGAAACCAGTGTTTTTTTTCTCTCTAAATATACCTAAAGCTTTTGGTTGTAATGAGTCATAATTAAATTTTTTTTATAACTTAAAAAGCTTAAATAACAAAATAGTTAAAACTCTAAACATTTGCTAAAAAGTTGTGTTACAAATCATGTTTTCAATTCGTATTTACAACACTATTTCATGTTTAGTCAATTTTACATAATTCATTGTATTCAAACTGCATGGTTCTATTCTAGATGTAGTTCAGTTAGGTTAAAACCATTACAAAAAATTAGTTTTGACATTTGAAATTTCCTCATTATTGGCAGTTACAAAATGAAAATCACAATTTATAGATGATTTGCCAAATAAATAGGATAAAATATACCAGGTTCAAAAGCAATTTCAAAAAAATTAACTTCAGGAAATTGTTATCATGACAGAAAAAATACAATTTACTAACATTTAAATACACTTACATGTAGTATAAAATGTACATGATCTATTTACAATGTAAATCCAGTTTGCAGTCTGACAATTTTCAAGTAGTATCCATAATCTGGTTGTAGCAGTTCTTATTACTAATATAAACATGCTACCTTAACTGAATCATTTGCATAAAACATGATATTGTGTATTTTTTCTCAATCATGTTATTTATATACTTTAAGTTAAAGCTGTACTAGGACATGACAAAATTTTGCTTGCTGGATTATCAACTGTGTCATTAACCATTGATAAACACCAGCAGCATATATACAACTGACAAGCATAGCCTTACATACAATAACTCTTCTGCTTGCTAAGTATAAAATGGAAATGCTCTAGATCAACGAACACAATACACCTTTAATCTTACACTGGTGTAATAACATCATCAAAATGTTGGTAAATACAAACTGTACATTTAAAAATATCGCTACAATGGATGGTTAAATAATTTATGTTATTTGATACAATCAACAATGTCCGACTACAAACTGAGATATATAAAGCTAGTATATAAAACAATGGAATGGTGCAAATGTTGAAAATGGTTTTTTTTTTTAAGTATTGACAATATAAAGAAGACTTTGTTCAGTTTATCAGAAAAAAATATCAAGGTAAACTTATATCTACAAATCCTGTACTGGAGCAATGCTTATCATGTTTAGTCTCCGACAAGATAACATATGACTTATCTTCTAGGATTTGGATTTGGAGAGTGCAGTTAAAGATAATCTTGAACTCGATCAATATTTTGATGTTACTTAGTTTTTCATTTTCTGATTCAATTCTCAACCAAAGACTTTCAATTGCATATAAAACATAAGAATATTCAGTTTACAGATCTAATAGGAAACAATGATAGATAAATGCATTGCTACTTTTCTTATCAAAAATATTGTTTAAAATTCTAATATATTTCCTTGACCAATATGCAACTCTTCAACAGTTTAAACTGTAAAAATACAGGCTATTAAGAGCAATGTACATTTGAAGTTCATTTCAAAGAATAAGAAAACATTCTATTTATAAAAAAACAATAGTTGGTCTTTTTGCCAAACTTTTTAATCAAATATTTTTTTCTTAAATAGGTGTCAACTTTAATTCAGGAATGAGTGGATATTTCATTATATGCAAAAGAATAAAGAGTTTTAAATGAAAATTAAAATATACTCAGTGTTCTCCTCAGAAATTTCTTATATCATCCCAGTAAAGAGGAAATTATGAAATACCATCTTGTTTCTTGATATTATAGCATCACATCCATTACACTATCTATAAGAAAACCAATTCAGATAGCATCACATTCTAGCAATATAGCATCACATTACCATGATGCTTAAAGGCCCTGGGGAGAACACTGTATACTGCAGAAAAAAAAAAGTAAATTTCATAAAAAAAACAATGTAAAATATGCAATATGGTTGAATTTCACAATTGAATAGTGACACCAAAGACAGAGCAAAAATCTTAATAATAAATGACTGAAAAAAATTCACACTTTACAGCTGTATGCATATGCTCCAGTTCTAAATATAATTCGGAATTTTCAAAATAATAATCATTTTAAATATTTCATCCCTGGAAAAGATGGTTTAATGAATAATGTTTCATCTACATTCTTTAGCATTTTTTTACTCCACTTAGTTCAAAGTATTTGTAAGTTGGATTTTCATAGCCATTCATTTGCATGTTTGCTACATGTCTTTCTTCTGGTGATGCTGCTGGGTCTACTTCAACAAAACCATGAGTAACAGGATGTCGATGTGACTTATTTCTTCTTAGCATGATAACAGCCACAACAATAATGACAAAAACAGCAACACTGCCAATTGCAATACCGAAAACACTTCCTGTTGAATTTACAATATGATGTACTGGATTGTTGACAAAACCCTAAAAGAAATCAAAGAAAACAAAGGATATTACTTTATGATAATTCTTTTTTGATTTGCATATCTACAAATACTTGAATTGGATTGGTCTGTTAGAATTTTTTTCACATGGTTTACACTTCAATAGGCCATGAACGCATGATACGCCTGTTGCCCTTTTAGCTCGTCTTTAAGCTTTAAATGAATTTATATGATCAACTAAAAATTCTGTGAGTACTGCTCAAATACCGGTAAACACCTCCCCCCCTCCCCCCCCCCCCCCAAAAAAAAAAACAAAACATGCATACGCAGTGGTACCCATTGACACAAAACAATAATTTTTCAAAGAACAAAGTTCCAGTACTCTGCATTGTCAATTAAGAAATATATAAATAAATGTGGATAGTGTCCACATGTGGACACAGATGATGCCCCCTCTTGCATATCATATAGTTATAAAGGGACATAACTGAAGAACGGTAAAAGTGACACTACCCAAATTTGAACTTGGTCTGAGTTTTGTGGTAATAAGCATTGAGTGTCAGTCTCATAACATTTGGTTGAGGCTAACTTAAGTAGAGAACAGAAACTAAAAATTCAGCAATTTTCTATTTGTAAACACGCATAACTCTAGAACAGTTGTGTATAAGTTTTATAACATTTGGTTGAGACAAACTAAAGTTAGAGAACGAGAACGAAAAATCCAGCAATTTTTATGTTTATAAAGGGACATAACTCAAGAATGGTAAAAGTGTCGCCACCAAATTTCGTACTTAATCTGTATTATGTAGTAATAAGCATTGTGTATACATTTTTGTAAGTTTCATAACATTTGGTTGAGGCAAACTAAAGTTAGAAAACGGAAACAAAAAATTTGTACTTGATCTTAGTTTTGTGGTTATATTGTGTATAGGTTTCATAATGTTTGGTTAGGGCAAACTTAAGTAACAGAATGGAAACTAAAAATTTTGCAATCTTTTGATTTATAAAGGGGCATAACTCAATTATGGTTAAAGTGACACTACCCAAATTCAACTTGATCTGTGTTTTATCAGTGGAGGTCAAAATTAAACATTGCATTGTATAAAGCATTGATTGTAGTTGATTCAACTATAATCATGGACAAAGGACGATAACTCCAATTTCAAAAATTACTTGATATTTAGAAGAAAATAAAAATTTTACAATTTTTCCATTTATAAAGGGGCATAACTCTAGAACGGTTAAAGTGACGCCACCAAAATTCAAACTTGATCTGTGTTTTGTGGTAATAAGCTTTGTGTATAAGTTTCATAACATTTTGTTGAGGCAAACTAAAATTAGAGAACGGAAACAAAAAATTCAGCAATTTTTCCATTTGTAAAGGAGCATAACTCTAGAACGGTAAAAGTGACGCCACCAAAATTCAAACTTGATCTGTGTTTTGTGGTAATAAGCATTGTGTATAAGTTTCATAACATTTGGTTGAGGCAAACTAAAGTTAGAGAACGGAAACGATAAATTCAGCAATTTTTCCATTTGTAAAGGGGCATAACTCTAGAACGGTAAAAGTGACGCCACCACAATTCAAACTTGATCTGTGTTTTGTGGTAATAAGCATTGTGTATAAGTTTCATAACATTTGGTTGAGGCAAAATAAAGTTAGAGAACGGAAACCAATTTTGGGACGTAGGTACGTATGTATAGACGGACAAGGGTAAAACTTAATGCCCCCTCCACATTCATTAAACTTTTAAAGCCCATAGAAACAGATGTAAACAATTCAAATTGAAACTTTGGTCAGGCGGAAACCCAGTTGAAATTAATCAAAAGAAATGGAACTCTTTATTAGAGAAGGTAAAAATGGCCAAGTTGGTAAATTTGAATTGTTTACATCTGTTTCTATGAGCTTTAAAAGTTTAATGAATGTGGATAAATTTAGGATTTTATGCATATTATATATGTGTTTTTTATTAATTTATGGGATCGAGCTTTGAGATATTTGTAAACTTTTGAATTACAGACAAATTTTCACAAAACAGTCGATTGGGGTAGGTGCAAATACATGTGGATCTTTTTTGTGCATAAGCATAAATTCCGCATTAATTTGCATCTCTGCCCCTGGCGACAGTTTTTTGGGAAAAAATCCCAAAATGGGCAATAATTTTATTGAAAAGAGAAAGTCCAGTACACCTTTTTATGTTCAGGCATGTTTGAGTTGACTATTCTGTCTTGAAAACGTATAAAAGAAAAATATTTGATACATCATCTCGCTTCAGATTCTATTATTTTTATATATTTAGGCTAAAGGTTAATAAAATAACATTAAAAACTTAACAGTACTAAGAAATGAAATATATGGGTCAAGTGAAATATCTTTCTAATGAGTCATAACAACAGAGTAGGTGTGTTACCCCCAAAATCAATCCCAGCATTCCCTTTGTGATATGGAACCTTGTGATACAATGTCAGAGAGATCCATACACTTACACACAAGTTATTTTCCTGAAACTAGAAAAATGCTTGTTTTTTGCCCCTTTTTGGCCCCTAATTCCCAAAATTTTGAGGCAATTACCCCCAAAATCAATCCCAGCCTTCCCTTTGTGGTATGGTACCTTGCAGTACAATTTCAGAGAGATCCATACACTTGAACACAAGTTATTGTCTGGAAACTAGAAAAATTTGTAAGGGTTCCACGGAACCCAGTGTCTCGCCTATTTTTGCTGTTAATCGCAGGCTCAACAAAAATGAGGGAAAAAAAAAATAAAAATATTCCTCTCGATACTATCTTTTGATTGTAAGAAGCTTCTGTCCAAGTTTAGTAAAAAATCCAGGATAGTTTATGAATCTAATAAATGTTTTAAAAAATTTAACTGCAGACTGTATGTAATGTTAACTGGAAGAAAAACTATATATTAAAGTCCATTTATAAGTAAAATACGGAAAAAATAGAATTTTTTTTTTACAAAATTAACTCCTGGATACTATCTTATGATCATAAACAAGCTTCTGTCCTAGTTTGGTAGAAATCCTGGATAGTTTAAGAAAGTTATAAAAATTTTAAAAACTTTAACCACAGAGTGAATGTAATGTTTCCTGGCAGAAAAACTAAGTCCATTTAGAGGTAAATTACGGAAAAAATGGATTTTTTTTTATACAAAATTTACTTCTGGATACTATCTTATGATCATAAACAAGCCTCTGTCCTAGTTTGGTAGAAATCCAGGATAGTTTAAGAAAGTTATTAAAATTTCAAAAACTTTAACCACAGAGTGAATATTTGTGGACGCTGCCGCCGCCGACGGAATGTAGGATTGCTATGTCTCGCTTTTTCAACAAAAGTCGAAGGCTCGACAAAAATGCTTATTTTTGGCCCCTTTTTGGCCCTTTTTTTCCTAAACGTTTTGGGCAATTACCCCCAAAATCAATTCCAGCTTTCCCTTTGTGATATGGAACCTTGTAGTACAATTTCAGAAAGATCCATACACTTACACACAAGTTATTGTCATGAAACTAGAAAAATGCTTGTTTTTTGCCCCTTTTTTGGCCCCTAATTCCTAAAATTTTGAGACAATTACCCCCAAAATCAATCCCAGCATTCCCCTTGTGATATGGAACCTTGTGGTACAAAGTCAGAGAGATCCATACACTAACACACAAGTTATGTCTGGAAGTTACAAAAATGCTTATTTTTGGCCCCTAATTTCTTAACTGTTGGTACCATAACCCCCAAAATGAATCCCAACCTTCCTTTTGTGGTATTGAACCTTATGGTAAAATTTCATAGAGATCCATTCACTTAAACTAAAGTTAGAGTGCGAAACCAATGTGTCATACCAATATACGACTGCAAAATTTTTCTGTGGTCGTATAAAAACTATTATAAACTGTTAAAACAGAGATATGTCTCGCCTTTTCTTTATTTTGATAGTAAAATACAAATGTTGTAATCAAAATAGCAATACTTTAACATGTCAGTTATAAAAAAAATTCAAAGTCAATGAACCATGACTGAAGGTAAAGGACCAAACAATCTCCTTAGAAATGAGATGTGCCAATGCTAATACAACTGCATACCAAATATCATTGATCTACCAATAGTGGTTCCCCATAAACTGACCTAATCACAAACTAATATATGTAAACTAAGCAAAAGATTCAAAGTCAATAGACCATGACTGAGGGGTGGGGCCAAACATCTCCATGGAAATGAGATGTGCCAGCACTTATACAACTGCATACCAAATATCATTGACCTACCACTAGTGGTTCCTGATAAACTGACCTAATCACAAACTAATACATGTAAACTTAGCAAAAGTTTCAAGTCAATAGACCATGACTGAGGGGGCGGGGCCAAAAATTTCCATGGAAATGAGATGTACCAATGCTAATACAACTGCATACCAAATATCATTGACCTACCACTAGTGGTTCACCATAAACTGATCTAATTACAAACTAATACATTGTTGACACCGCCGACGACGCTGGAAACAGCTTACCTATGTCTTGCTTTTTGACTCTCTCAAGGCGAGACAAAAATCAGTTGACAAGGGCTTAACTCATCAGATTGATAAAAAGCTAGTTATCTATTATAGTTTTCAAGATAAAAGGCAAAAAATGCAAAAAAATGTTAAAAATCATCATCAAAGGGCAACTCCAATAATGAGTTGACTGCAGATTTCTACCATTTTGGAATATTTGTGGATCATGTCTTGCTGATCATTTGTGCTATTTAATGTTTCTATCTATCTATTACCGTTTTCAAGATATTAGGCAAAAATGGGAAAAATTATCATTAAAGGGCAGTAACTCCAATAACGAGTTGACTTAAGATTTCGATCATTAGGCTTATTTGTAGATCTTGTCTTGCCGATGATATTTGCTATTTAAAGTTTCTGTCTATCTATTATAATATTCAAGATAATAACAAATAAAATGCTCCGCAGGGCGCAGCTTGATACGACCGCAGAGGTCGAACCCTGAACAGTTGGGCCAAGTATGGACACAACATACAAGCTTGATACAGCTTTGCATTTGGATTGTGATTAAATATTTGACACAGCATAGGTTTCTGACACAGAATGAATGTGGTCTAAGAACTTAAAAATTTTAAATTGGACATTCACCTATTATGGTCCAATATCCAAAATCTAAATACATGGTTAGATTCAGCATATCAAAGAACCCCAAGAATTCAATTTTTGATGAAATCAAACAAAGTTTAATTTTGGACCCTTTTGACCTCAATGTGGACAAAGTTGATAACGGGGCCCAAAAATCAAAAATCTAAATACATAGTTAGATTCAGCATATCAAACAACCCCATATATTCAATTTTTGTTGAAATCAAACAAAGTTTAATTTTGGACCCCGATTTGGACCAACTTGAAAACTGGGCCCATAATCAAAAATCTAAATACATGTTTAGATTCAGCATATCAAAGAACCCTAAGAATTCAATTTTTGTTAAAATCAAACTAAGTTTAATTTTGGACCCTTTGGACCTTAATGTAGACCAATTTGAAAATGGAACCAAAAATTAAGAATCCAAATACACGGTTAGATTCGGCATATCAAAGAACCCCAATAATTCAATTTTTGATGAAATCAAACAAAGTTTAATTTTGGACCCTTTGGACCTCAATGTGGACCAATTTAAAAACGGGGCCCAAAATCCAAAAACTAAATACACGGTTAGATTCAGCATATTAAAGAACCCCATGAAATCAAGAATAAAACCCCATTCAAATTGGTCAAGAAATAAGCAATTTATAGGAAGTATCTTCTTTTGCACAATCCTGTGCTATTAAATATTTCTTGCTATTGCGCAATACTGTACAATTGACAATTTCTTGCTATTGCGCAATATTGTGCTATTGGATATTTCTTGCTATTGCGCAATACTGTGCAATTGAAGATTTCTTGCTATTGCGCAATACTGTGCAATTGAAGATTTCTTGCTATTGTGCAATACTGTGCAATTGAAAATTTCTTGCTATTGCACAATACTTATTATATAATAATTTACACATCCTGTTTGGTGTGTATCTCCTACCATATCATTATTATTTGATTTTAAATATAAATCAGAAATAACCAACTTAAAATGGAATATTTTAAAAGAAACAAAAAAGGAAAAAAAGAAAAAAAGGAAAAAAAAATAAATCCCCCCCCAAATTTTTTTTAACCCCCATTATGATTCATTACCCCCAAACTCAATCCCAGCCTTCCCTTTGTGGTATGGTACCTTGCAGTACAATTTCAGAGAGATCCATACACTTGAACACAAGTTATTGTCTGGAAACTAGAAAAAAATGTGTTTTTTGGCCCCTTTTTGGCCCCAAATTCCTAAACGTTTAGGGCAATTACCCCCCAACTCAAACCCAGCTTTCCCTTTGTGATATGGAACCTTGTAGTACAATTTCAGAAAGATCCATACACTTACACACAAGTTATTGTTATGAAACTAGAAAAATGCTTGTTTTTTGCCCCTTTTTTGGCCCCTAATTCCTAAAATTTGGAGGCAATTACCCCCAAAATCAATCCCAGCATTCCTTTAGTGATATGGAACCTTGTGGTACAATGTCAGAGAGATCCATACACTAACACACAAGTTATGTCTGGAAGTTACAAAAATGCTTATTTTTGGCCCCTTTTTGGCCCCTAATTCCTTTACTGTTATTACCATAACCCCCAAAATCAATCCCAACCTTCCTTTTGTGGTATTGAACCTTGTGGTAAAATTTCATAAAGATCCATTCACTTAAACTAAAGTTAGAGTGCGAAAACCAAGTGTCTTCGGACGACGCCGGACGACGACGACGACGACGCCAATGTCATACCAATATACGACCACAATGCGGTCGTATAAAAACTGCATGTGATGTTGTGTTTATTCAATATCAATAATATATTATAGCAAATCCTACTTTTATATATGTGTATTTACAACTTCAAATTATATTATAAAGAGTTACAAATATATAGAACACTTGTGAACAGTCAACCATCCAGACAACTTATGTTTAATAATGATGTTTTATATGTTATTTCAAAATGGGAATATGAAAAAATTGTGAATGGAGGAACTCTAAATTTTCAAGCAGACACAACTAACCTATATTTGCCAAAAAAAATTAAACAATTGTTGAAATGACTAGATTTCTATATATAAATGATGGAAGCTTACTAGATATCAATATTGAAAGTGATTATCAGTATACACACAAGTTTGGAACCCTTAATTAGAAAAGTCCCTGCTGATTTCCTTTACTTTGAGGTACATGTACAAGAAAAGAAAAGAATATTATTTTAAAACATATTGTCATGATTGTCGCTTGCTAGAAAAAATTCTTTTGCCTCTGAAAAATCCAATTTGGGGAGAAAAAAAAAAATTATCAGCTCCTCCTTTTTCAACAGATGAAGTACAAAGAATTTGTAACCACGACTGATGATTGTATTATTACACATACAAATTACGTGTAATTACTACTAAGTATGTAATGAAGGACTATAACTACAGTAAAATCTGTTAACCCAAAATAGTGTGTGAACAACTCATAATAAAACTTCTTACCAAATATTAGAGCTACTAAACAAAAGACATTAGCAATGTTAGGTTTACATGAAGAACAGACACACACTGACCATAACCCTGTACCCATTTTGTAATAAGGAGGGGACAACTATGATTGCAACATATAAATGTCTGTCTCATCAACACATATATAGTCTATATGTAACATTACCTGATGCTTCACATTTTGTTGATCACTGAGATGCTGAGCAGCAAAACCCTGATGTTCATTTTCCATATCTTCTTGATTATCATCCTGAGATTCTTCCAGCTGCTTATCAATTATCACTTCTTGTTTGTTGTTCACAGGAATTTGAATCTTTTCATTATCCCAAGACTCTAAAAAAATACATAATGTGATCAGCAGCAGTGTAAGTGTATTGCTTACCTAGTTCCCTAATTTACTTGAGCTAAGATTTTAAAATGAGTTGACAATTTGTTTTGGATTACAGTGGATTGTTTCAGTTAGCTTAGCAGGGCTTCAGCTGGTGGTCGCCATTCTTGCTTTTTGCGAAAAATAATAATTGTGGTGATTAAAAATCATGATTGGCATAAGAAATTGGTGAAAGAAATATAACGGTTCGACTACATCCATCTTGTTCATTTTGTTTCAGGTTTCTTAGACTTTTCCCTGATCAGACAATACTCAGATTTCACCTTGAACTTGTCACACATATCGATTTTTACAGAAAATCAATAATCAGCTGATTGCATTTGATAGCAATCTGCAACAATGGACTAATTAATTAAGGTGTTAAATGTATTGTTTAATGAAAATGTGTGGTGCAATGGCGTCACATGTCACCCACAGGATTGTTTTTACAACTTTGATAAATATAATTATTTTGAAGAGGGTATTTCCCATAGTTTTAGTGGCGCACCTGTCTTGAGAAAAGTTTTATGTCTCAGCTTTTACTTTTAACGATGGCCCAGAATTGAAAACTGATGATGAATCAAATTTTACAGTATCTTTAAAAAAGTACAAGAAATCTTTGTTATAATTTAGTGTTCATTTATTACAATGTAGGTTATAAAATAGATATGTAGAATTATAATAAATGAGACAACAATGCTGCAATCTGAATTTTTTTGTTAGCAAGAAGTCCTAAACACAAACCTGTTTATTTTAGTTGCAGAAAAAAAACTGAGAGTGGCAAAATAAATATCATTTTGGTAAAAGAGGTGGCGAAAAAAAAGAAATTGACCCATGGGAAACCCTGTTTTAGCATTTATGCAAATCTTACATTGCTGACAATATTACTATCATGTATATTGTACTGTACTGTAATCTTTTATACTTCATAGGATAATATGCCTAGCCCTAATTTGGCATATATTTCTAATAAACTCACATCATAATGAACATGAGTACCAAGTTTCAAGTGCATGTGACCACAACTTCATGGTTAACAACATAAACAAAAAACTTTACACTGAAACAGAACGGAAAACATGAAAACTTAACCTTGATCACTGAAACATGAAATGAGGTCAAGGATCCCATATACCCAATATAGTTGTCCTATTACTCTTCACAAGTAAGAAATTCATTTGATAATAAATTGCTCCACAGGGCGCAGCTTGATACGACCGCAGAGGTCGAACCCTGAACAGTTGGGGCAAGTATGGACACAACATTCAAGCTTGATACAGCTCTGAATTTGGATTGTGATTAAATATTTGACACAGCATAGGTTTCTGACACAGAATGAATGTGGTCTAAGAACTTAAAAATTTTAAATTGGACATTCAACTATTATGGTCCAATATCCAAAATCTAAATACATGGTTTAATTTTGGACCCTTTGGACCTTAATGTAGACCAATTTGAAAACGGAACCAAAAATTAAGAATCTAAATACACGGTTAGATTCGGCATATCAAAGAACCCCAATAATTCAATTTTTGATGAAATCAAACAAAGTTTAATTTTGGACCCTTTGGACCTCAATGTGGACCAATTTAAAAACGGGGCCCAAAATCCAAAAACTTAATACACGGTTCGAATCAGCATAGTAAAGAACCCCAAGAATTCAAGAATAAAACCCCATTCAAATTGGTCAAGAAATAAGCAATTTATACGAAGTATCTTCTTTTGCACAATACTGTGCAATTGAATATTTCTTGCTATTGCGCAATACTGTACAATTGACAATTTCTTGCTATTGCGCAATATTGTGCTATTGGATATTTCTTGCTATTGCACAATACTGTGCAATTGAAGATTTCTTGCTATTGCGCAATACTGTGCAATTGAAGATTTCTTGTTATTGTGCAATACTGTGCAATTGAAAATTTCTTGCTATTGCACAATACTTATTTTATAATAATTTACACATCCTGTTTGGTGTGTATCTCCTACCATATCATTATTATTTGCTTTTAAATATAAAACAGAAATAACCAACTTAAAATGGAAAATTTTAAAAGAAAAAAAAAAGGAAAAAAAAAAATCCCCCCCCCCAAATTTTTTGAACCCCCTTATGATTCATCACCCCCAAACTCAATCCCAGCCTTCCCTTTGTGGTATGGTACCTTGCAGTACAATTTCAGAGAGATCCATACACTTGAACACAAGTTATTGTCTGGAAACTAGAAAAATGCTTATTTTTGGCCCCTTTTTGGCCCCTTATTCCTAAACGTTTTGGGCAATTACCCCCAAACTCAATTCCAGCTTTCCCTTTGTGATATGGAACCTTGTAGTACAATTTCAGAAAGATCCATACACATACAAGTTATTGTCATGAAACTAGAAAAATGCTTGTTTTTTGCCCCTTTTTTGGCCCCTAATTCCTACTATTTTGAGGCAATTACCCCCAAAATCAATCCCAGCATTCCCTGTGTGATATGGAACCTTGTGGTACAATTTCAGAGAGATCCATACACTTGAACACAAGTTATTGTCTGGAAACTAGAAAAATGCTTATTTTTGGCCCCTTTTTGGCCCCTTATTCCTAAACGTTTTGGGCAATTACCCTCAAACTCAATTCCAGCTTTCCCTTTGTGATATGGAACCTTGTAGTACAATTTCAGAAAGATCCATACAACACAAGTTATTGTCATGAAACTAGAAAAATGCTTGTTTTTTGCCACTTTTTTTGCCCCTAATTCCTACTATTTTGAGGCAATTACCCCCAAAATCAATCCAAGCATTCCCTGTGTGATATGGAACCTTGTGGTACAATGTCAGAGAGATCCATACACTAACACACAAGTTATGTCTGGAAGTTACAAAAATGCTTATTTTTGGCCCCTTTTTGGCCCCTAATTCCTTAACTGTTGGTACCATAACCCCCAAAATCAATCCCAACCTTCCTTTTGTGGTATTGAACCTTATGGTAAAATTTCATAGAGATCCATTCACTTAAACTAAAGGAGAGTGCGAAAACCAATGTGTCTTTGGACGACGCCGGACGACAATAACGCCAACGTCATACCAATATACGACCGCAAAATTTTTTTGCGGTTGTATAAAAACTGCAAAATTTCCTCAAAACTACCAATTTAGTGGCAGCAACCCAACAATGGGTTGTTCGATTTGTCTGAAAATTTCAGGGCTGATAGATCTTGACCAATTGAACAATTTTACCTAATGTCAGATTTGCTCTAAAAGCTTTAGTTTTGGAGATATAAGCCAATAACTGCATTTGTCCCTTATGTTCTATTTTTAGCCATGGCGGCCATGTTTGTCGATGGATTAAAACTTCGGATACAATTTATAAACTAGATATCCTAAGGAACATTTAGATGAAGTTTGAAGGTATTTGGCCCAGTAGTTTCAGAAGAGAAGATTTTTAAATGTTAGCAAACTTGATGAACAAATTGTGTAAAATTGTCTTTATAGGGCAATAACTCCTTAAGGGGTCAATTGACAATTTTAGTCATATAAAACTTTTCTGTAGATCTTACTTTGCTGAACATTATTGCTGTTTACAGTTTATATCTATCTATAATAATATTCAAGATAATAACAAATAAAATGCTCCGCAGGGCGCAGCTTTATACGACCGCAGAGGTCGAACCCTGAACAGTTGGGGCAAGTATGGACACAACATTCAAGCTTGATACAGCTCTGAATTTGGATTGTGATTAAATATTTGACACAGCATAGGTTTCTGACACAGAATGAATGTGGTCTAAGAACTTAAAAATTTTAAATTGGACATTCACCTATTATGGTCCAATATCCAAAATCTAAATACATGGTTAGATTCAGCATATCAAAGAACCCCAAGAATTCAATTTTTGATGAAATCAAACAAAGTTTAATTTTGGACCCTTTTGACCTCAATGTGGACAAAGTTGATAACGGGGCCCAAAAATCTAAATACATGGTTAGATTCAGCATATCAAAGAACCCCATATATTCATATTTTGTTGAAATCAAACAAAGTTTAATTTTGGACCCCGATTTGGACCAACTTGAAAACTGGTCCCATAATTAAAAATCTAAATACATGTTTAGATTCAGCATATCAAAGAACCCTAAAAATTCAATTTTTGTTAAAATCAAACTAAGTTTCATTTTGGACCCTTTGGACCTTAATGTAGACCAATTTGAAAACGGAACCAAAAATTAACAATCTAAATACACGGTTAGATTCGGCATATCAAAGAACCCCAATAATTCAATTTTTGATAAAATCAAACAAAGTTAAATTTTGGACCATTTGGACCTCAATGTGGACCAATTTAAAAACAGGGCCCAAAATCCAATAAAATGCTTCGCTGGGCGCAGCTTGATAGGACCACAGAGGTCGAACCCTGAACAGTTGGGGCAAGTATGGACACAACATTCAAGCTTGATACAGCTCTGAATTTGGATTGTGATTAAATAATTGACACAGCATAGGTTTCTTACACAGAAAAAATGTGGTCTAAGAACTTGATTTTTTTTAAGTTACCTATTTTGGTCCAATGTCCAAAATCAAAATACATGGTTAGATTCAGCATATCAAAGAACCCCATATATTCAACTTTTGTTGAAATCAAACAAAGTTTAATTTTGGACCCCAACTTGGACCAACTTGAAAACTGGGCCCATAATCAAAAATCTAAACACATGTTTAGATTTAGCATATCAAAGAACCCCAAGAATTCAATTTTTGTTAAAATCAAACTAAGTTTAATTTTGGACCCTTTGGACCTTAATGTAGACCAATTAAAAAAACGGGACCCAAAATTAAAAATCTAAATACACGGTTAGATTTGGAATATCAAAGAACCCCAATAATTCAATTTTTGATGAAATCAAACAAAGTTCAATTTTGGACCCTTTTGACCTCAATATGAACCAATTTGATAGCGGGGCCCACAAATAAAAAATCTAAATACATGGTTAGATTCAGCATATCAAAGAACCCCATATATTCATTTTTTGTTGAAATAAAAAAAAGTTTAATTTTGGACCCCAACTTGGATCAACTTGAAAACTGGGCCCATAATCAAAAATCCAAACACATGTTTAGATTCAGCATATCAAAGAATCCCAAGAATTCAATTTTTGTTAAAATCAAACTAAGCTTAATTTTGGACCCTTTGGACCTTAATGTAGACCAATTTAAAAAACGGGACCAAAATTAAAAATCTAAATAGACGGTTAGATTTGGAATATCAAAGAACCCCAATAATTCAATTTTTGATGAAATCAAACAAAGTTTAATTTTGGACCCTTTTAACCTCAATATGAACCAATTTGATAGCGGGGCCCACAAATAAAAAATCTAAATACATGGTTAGATTCAGCATATCAAAGAACCCCATATATTCAATTTTTGTTGAAATAAAAAAAAGTTTAATTTTGGACCCGTACTTGGACCAACTTGAAAACTGGGCCAATAATAAAAAATCCAAACACATGTTTAGATTCAGCATATCAAAGAACCCCAAGAATTCAATTTTTGTTTAAATCAAACTAAGTTTAATTTCTGACCCTTTGGACCTTAATGTAGACCAATTTAAAAAACGGGCCATAAATTAAAAATCTAAAAACACGGTTAGATTTGGCATATCAAAGAACCCCAATAATTCAATTTTTGATGAAATCAAACAAAGTTTAATTTTGGAACCTTTTGACCTCAATATGAACCAATTTGATAGCGGGCCCACAAATAAAAAATCTAAATACATGGTTAGATACAGCATATCAAAGAACCCCATATATTCAATTTTTGATGAAATCAAACAAAGTTTAATTTTGGACCCCAACTTGGACCAACTTGATAACTGGGCCCATAATAAAAAATCCAAACACGTGTTTAGATTCAGCATATCAAAGAACCCTATCTATTCAGTTTTTGTTAAAATCAAACAAAGTTTAATTTTGGACCCTTTGGACCTTAATGTAGACCAATTTGAAAACTGGACCAAAAATTAAAAATCTAAATACACGGTTAGATTCGGCATAACAAATAAATAAATGTGGTCAAAGATTTTACAAATCTAATGCTCCATACTGTGCAATTACAGATTACTTCTTTAAATTTTTCAATATTTGAAATTTGAAAAAAACATAATATTTGAAGAATATTTCTTTTTAATTTCTGAAATCTGAAATGAGAAAAAATTGACCCCCCCCACAATTTCTTTTTACCCCCCCCCCCCCCCCCCCCCACACACACTTTTTGTCCCCCAAAAAATTCTTTCATTTAAATTTACCATAGTGCTAACTTAATCTATTTTATAAAATATAGTGTCAAATCTTTCATATGGATTTTTTTGTAAAAAAAAAAAGTTGCAACATTTGCAGATATTTTTACTGGTCTTCCTTTATAAATATGCATTTCTTTAAACATAATTTAAAAGCAGTGTAAGGGAAGTAACCAAAACGTTGTATTTGGATTACTTCCCTTACACTGTTTTAAATTATCTTAATTGTTCATTAACCATTACTTTATACATAATTTAAAAGCAGTGTAAGGGAGATAATTTCAATGATGTATTTGATTTATCTCCCTGAGACTGCTTTAAATTATGTTTTGTACTAAAGTATTTGTCCATTAACCAGGACAACCTTGTTTTTCCCCCTTTTTTGCCCCTAATTCCTAAACGGTTTGAGCCATAACCCCCCAAAGCAAATCCTAACCATCCCTTTGTGGTATGGAAACTTGTAGTATAATTTCAGAGAGATCCATACAGCATTCCACAGTTATTGTCTGGAAACTAGAAAGTGCTTATTTTTGGCCCCTTTTTGGCCCCTAATTCCTTAACTGTTGGTACCATAACCCCCAAAATCAATCCCCACCTTCCTTTTGTGGTATTGAACCTTATGGTAAAATTTCAAAGAGATCCATTCACTTAAACTAAAGTTAGAGTGCGAAAACCAATGTGTCTTGGGACCAATATACGACTGCAAAATTTTTTTGCGGTCGTATAAAAACTAAATACACGGTTAGATTCAGCATATTAAGGAACCCCAAGAATTCAAGAATAAAACCCCATTGAAATTGATCAAGAAATAAGCAATTTATACGAAGTATCTTCTTTTGCACAATACTGTGCAATTGAATATTTCTTGCTATTGCGCAATACTGTACAATTGACAATTTCTTGCTATTGCGCAATATTATGCTATTGCGCAATACTGTGCAATTGAAGATTTCTTGCTATTGTGCAATACTGTGCAATTGAAAATTTCTTGCTATTGCACAATACTTTTTATACAATAATTTACACATCCTGTTTGGTGTGTATCTCCTACCATATCATTATTATTTGCTTTTAAATATAAATCAGAAATAACCAACTTAAAATGGAAAATTTTAAAAGAAAAAAATAAGGAAAAAAATTAAAAAAAATAAAAAAAAAAAAAATCCCCCCCTCCCCAAATTTTTTGAACCCCCTTATGATTAATCACACCCAAACTCAATCCCAGCCTTCCCTTTGTGGTATGGTACCTTGCAGTACAATTTCAGAGAGATCCATACACTTGAACACAAGTTATTGTCTGGAAACTAGAAAAATGCTTATTTTTGGCCCCTTTTTGGCCCCCAATTCCTAAACGTTTTGGGCAATTACTCCCAAAATCAATTACAGCCTTCCCTTTGTGATATGGAACATTGTGGTACAATGTCAGAGAGATTCATACACTTACACACAAGTTATTGTCTGGAAGTTACAAAAATGCTTATTTTTGGCCCCTTTTTGGCCTCTAATTCCTTAACTGTTGGTACCATAACCCCCAAAATCAATCTCAACCTTCCTTTCGTGGTATTGAACCTTATGGTAAAATTTCATGGAGATCCATTCACTTAAACTAAAGTTAGAGTGCGAAAAACCAATGTGTCTTCGGACGATGACCACGACAACGACGACGACGCCAACGTCATACCAATATACGACCAAAAAATTATTAATTTTTGCGGTCGTATAAAAACTGCAAAATTTCCTCAAAACTACCAATTTAGTGGCAGCAACCCAACAATGGGTTGTTCGATTTGTCTGAAAATTTCATGTCTGATAGATCTTGACCAATTGAACAATTTTACCCATGTCAGATTTGCTCTAAAAGCTTTAGTTTTGGAGATATAAGCCAAAAACTGCATTTGACCCTTATTTTCTATTTTTAGCCATGGCGGCCATGTTTGTCGATGGATTAAAACTTCGGATACAGTTTATAAACTATATATCCTAAGGAACATTTAGATCAAATTTGAAGGCATTTGGCCCAGTAGTTTCAGAGGAGAAGATTTTTAAATGTTAGCAAACTTGATGAACAAATTGTGTAAAATTGTCTTTAAAGGGCAATAACTCCTTAAGGGGTCAATTGACAATTTTAGTCAGACAAAACTTTTCTGTAGATCTTACTTTGCTGAACATTATTGCTGTTTACAGTTTATATCTATCTATAATAATATTAAAGATAATAACAAATAAAATGCTCTGCTGGGCGCAGCTTGATGTGACCGCAGAGGTCGAACCCTGAACAGTTGGGGCAAGTATGGACACAACATTCAAGCTTGATACAGCTCTGAATTTGGATTGTGATTAAATATTTGACACAGCATAGGTTTCTGACACAGAATGAATGTGGTCTAAGAATTTTTTTAATTTACCTATTATGGTCCAATATCCAAAATCAAAATACATGGTTAGATTCAGCATATCAAAGAACCCCATATATTCAATTTTTGTTGAAATCAAACAAAGTTTAATTTTGGACCCCAACTTGGACAAACTTGAAAACTGGTCCCATAATCAAAAATCTAAACACATGTTTAGATTCAGCATATCAAAGTACCCCAAGAATTCATTTTTTGTTAAAATCAAACTAAGTTTAATTTTGGACCCTTTGGACCTTAATGTAGACCAATTAAAAAAAAACGGGACCCAAAATTAAAAATCTAAAAACACGGTTAGATTTGGCATATCAAAGAACCCCAATAATTAAATTTTTGATGAAATCAAACAAAGTTTAATTTTGGACCCTTTTGACCTCAATATGAACCAATTTGATAGCGGGCCCACAAATAAAAAATCTAAATACATGGTAAGATTCAGCATATCAATGAACCCCATATATTCAATTTTTGTTAAAATCAAACTAAGTTTAATTTTGGACCCCAGTTTGGACCAACTTAAAAACTGGGCCAAAAATCTAAAATCTAAATACATGTTTAGATTCAGCAGATCAAAGAACCCCATATATTCAATTTTTGTTGAAATCAAACAAAGTTTAATTTTGTTGGACCCCAACTTGGACCAACTTGAAAACGGGGCTCATAATCAAAAATCTAAACACATGTTTAGATTCAGCATATCAAAGAACCCCAATAATTCAATTTCTGATGAAATAAAACAAAGTTTAATTTTGACCCTTTTGACCTCAATATGAACCAATTTGATAGCGGGGCC